TCCGGAGCACAAGTCTGGTGAGGAGCGGCTGAGGGAGCTGGGGTTGTTCAGCCTGGAGAAGAGGAGGCTGAGGGGAGACCTTATCGCTCTCTACAACTGCCTGACAGGAGGCTGTAGCGAGGTGGGGGTCGGTCTCTTCTCCCAAGTAACAAGTGATAGGACAAGAGATGGCCTCCGGTTGCGCCAAGTTGCACCAGGGGAGATTTAGATTGGATATTAGGAAAAATTTATTCACCAAAAGGGCAGTCAGGCACTGGAACAGGCTGCCCAGGGAAGTGGTTGAGTCTCCATCCCTGGAGATATTTAAAAGAGGTGTAGATGTGGTGCTTGAGGACATGGTTTAGTGATGGACTTGGCAGTATTAGGTTAATGGTTGGACTCGATGATCTTAAAGGTCTTTTCCAACCTAAACGATTCTGTCATTCTATGAGGGTGAGGGGTGGGTGAACGTGGATTGGGATGGATGGGTGTGTGTGCATGTGTGTGTGTGAGAGTGTGTGTGTGTGCACCAGGCTGCAGTGGGGTTCCCTCTGTGTGTGTGTGTTTGTGAGTGTCTCTCTGTGCACCCCATGCTGCGAGATGTTTCCTGGGTGTTTGCTCTGGGGTAGGGGTGCCAGGGTTGTACGGATATGAGACAGCTAAGCCCTGGCACAAAACTCCTGCAGCCATGGCACAGCCCGCCAAGCAGAGCCAGTGTGGGATCGATGCAGCCTTAACTGGGGTCTCGTGTCGCCTGTCACTCCCAGGCAGCACTGGCCACATCTCATCGAGTGCCAGGGCCCCGGGGAGCCGGGAGGGCACACGCGGGCCCGCGTCCCCGCTCGTTACACAGCTCAGGGGGTGATGTGTGTTGCCACGCTCCCTGGGGGGCTCAGGGACACAGCTGCTGTCACCTGAGTAACCAGCCCCGATCGATGCCCGCTTCCCGCGTCCCGCAGGGACTGTAATTGAGCAGGAGGGAGGAGACGGAGGATGCAGGGACGATCCAGCCTAGCAAGAGGAGCACTGGATCTGGCCTCAGTGCCAGGCTGGGGGCAGGCGGCCGTGGCGTCAGTGTGGCTCCAGGGATGGGGACGGGGTCGGAGCCCTCCTCTCAGCCTCAAGGAGCAGGAGGGCCAGATTCACCATGCACTGTGCTGGGCTGTGGGCAGACAGTGCTGTGGCTTCAGCCCTGCTCATGGGCTGGATGGAACCTTAAAGAGTGGATATCCTCCAACCCTAAAGCCCCTCCGAGGGCCCGAGTCCCAGGACTGCCTGAATTTCTTACCTTGGTGGGGCTGGGTTATCTGTGACCCATGGGGATTTGTGTATTTGTGGGCATTGCCCATCACACCAGGCACAAGCCACGGTAGACTCAGTACCCTCTAAACACAGAGTAGCACTCTGTGCACAGCCCCCAGCCCTTGCTGCAGCCCCCGGCCACTTTTAATAATGAAGCCATTTCTAATTGTCACCTTTGTGGAACAAAGCACAGCTCTTCCCCTCTGAAGATGCCTCTTCCATGGCCTAGCTATTGATCCTTGGGAAAAAAGGCAGAGCACATGGGGCCTCAGCCTGCTCCTCCTGCCCGAGTGCTCTGCACAGCTCCTCCAGGGAGATCTGGGGGGCCACAGGGGCTGCCCGAGTGCCCTGTACAGCTCCTCCAGGGAGATTTGGGGGGCCACAGGGGATGGTGGGGCCCTGGGTCACCCCACATCTCCCTCCTATAGCCTAACAGCCCCATACAACTCCCT